TTATAAAATCGTTATCATCATTGCAAATACAATTATCAACGTTAACGTTAATTTTGAAAACAACAAAAAAAACAACAGGAGCACACAAACTCCAAACAAACATACAAAACATACATACATACAAACATATATTAATAACAAACATACATACATATATACAATTATACTTACATACATACACACCTAAACAAACAAACAAATATAAAAACATACAAACAAACATACAAACAAACAAACATACAAAACATACAAACAAACATACAAACACACCACTTAGTTCTTCCGACAATATCATAGAAAGCAGGCCTGGAAACATTACACTGACCAATGGTGGCCTGCTTAAACAAAGAATAAAACATCAACTGCATCTCTGTCGATGGCTGGAAAGAACCTGGCATGTGAAAATTATGATTTTAACAATTACTTTATTATTTTAATCTTTATACTATTATTATTTATATTATTATTATTATTATTTATATTATTATTATTTATATTATTATTATTTATACTATTATTATTAACATTAATAAATGAAAATTTTATAAAATTTCATAAAAATTTTCAAATAGATAAATATAAGATTTTATAATATATATATTATATATATAAAATTTAACAATTATAATTATTAATATATTATAATATAATTACATTGATTAGTTAAAATAAATAGACAGTCTATCTCTGCCTATTTCTACACTATCTCCATACTATACTTATACTATAGATAGACCAGGGATGGGCAAACTATGGTTAATAAAAGGTCCTCAGCCAGACATTATGACCAAAAATTCTCCCCAGGGTCAAAAAATTTCTTATTTAAGTACATATGTGGCCCTTTAAAGGTAAAATATTTCTCAATACAGCCCTCACAACAAAAAGTTTGCCCACCCCTGTTATAGTCTTGTAATCTGTAATGTAAATGTAATCAATGTGTGTGTGTGTAATTGTGTAATCTTCTCTAATGTGAGCTACAAGTTGTAATCTGTGATGTGTGTGTGTAATGTAATCTGAAATGAGCTGATTTGCGCATATTTACAGGCAGTGCGTATTCTTTAAAAAATATTTTTAGGGAGAATTAATTAAATTTTGTGTGTGTGATTGATTCAATTTCAAGTCATGAGAAAGGGATTCACCCTTTTTTGGTAAACTTTGGATGACATTAGTAGCGGCGTCAAATTGTTCTTTTAACGACGCCATCTTGTGTAACGTATCAAACGATATATTTTTAAAAATTAAAATTATTTTTAAAAAGTTTGATCTAAAAAATATATAAAGTTAAAAATTTCATAAAACCATTATCAGCTGGTTACAAACGATGTACATTACAAAGGTATTTTGTTTAAAAGTTAAAACTGTTTCAATCAATTATCTAAACTTTTATAGCGCTTTTTCAGTAAACCTCAAACATATATATTAAACATAAAAAAAGCTAACTTTATTAACTTGTCAAATGTCTTTTTAACAATGCTACATTATAACAGATAGATTAAACATCAAAATTTTTATAATCAGTGAGATCTTATGTGGATACTTGTCTTATAACACATATTTAGATTGTCCTCTATCTTTATTTCGTCGTTAATTAGAAAATAGATGTATTATTTTTATTTATAGTAGTAGTAGTAGTATTAGTAGCCGTGATAGAGGCATCAGCAGCCACATTAGTAGTAGTAGTTGTTGGTATAGTTGTAGCACTGTCGGAAAAATTAGCCAGGTAAAGTTCTCATTAGCCATGCATCAGACAGTAATCAAGTCTGATTTGGAAGTATATATTTATGTGTATTGAAGAAACATTTCAGGTTTTAATTAGCATAAAATTTAGCCGATCATATAACATTAGCAAGATGGCTATTACTAAAAAAGCACGACAAACTTGAATTTCAATTTCAATTGCTACACTTCATTATTGAATCAATTGAAAAATATTTAATAATAGAAATTCTCTTTCTCACTTTCCATCTTTTTTTCTTTGTTTCTCACTGTCTCACTCCTTCTCTCTTCTTTCTCTCTCTCTCTCTCTCTCTCTCTCTCTCTATATATATATATATATATATATATATATATATATATAACTATAAATATTTCTGAACTCTACATTGTTTAACATTGCTTAGCTATTGAATAATAATGAACTAAGCTAAACTCCATTGCTTATTATTATTTTATAATAATTATTATTACTTCTATAATATCGATATTATTATTATTATTGTGGTTATTCTTATTGGCTAGTGCCAATGTCATTGTACGCATATATTTTACGCAGTAATTTAAATTTAGGGTATTCATATTATTATAATTATTATTATAATATTATTATTATCTTTATAATTACTGTTCTTATTATTATTATTGTTATTATTACAATTTAGTTGAAATACTTTATATATATATTCTGCCTAATTTTGGCTTCGAGTTAGTAGTCATTCGATCGCTTATGTCAATTTCATCAATATGGCTATAATGGCGAAACTGATTTTCTCAATTGTAACTTTAGTTATTCTGTCTGTGTTTGTCACCGCTGAAAGTAAAACATTTTATTTATTCGTTTGTTCGTTCAAACATTCACTCACGTGCAAATTCACTAATTCGTTCACTTTATCTTATCGATTCACTCATTTATTCCTTTATTAATTTCATCATTTACTTATTATTTTATTTAATACTTTATACACCAACACACACGCACACACACAAACACACGCACATAACAGAACCCCAACTTTTGGCAACATTTTCAAACGGTACGCCAGTCTACGGCTTAGCTGTTCTCAAAAACAATTTGATAGCCGTCTCGAGAGAAAATAGCGGAAAACTTCAGCTATACAATGTAGCTATTAACGGGCTTTTTACCGAGCTAAACTCGGTTGATATGGCTCGCTCTGATAGCTATTACGACATGGCTTACCTTAATAAGTCTGAGCAATTTGTTCTTCTAAACTGGCTTGATTCGAACAAGGTAGAGGGTGGTTGTTTTTTAGTTTTTAGTTGATTTTCTTATTTGAATGAGATAATTTTCTTTTTTATTTTATAAATTGTCATCATATTAGATAAACATCTAGAATTCGATTTGATAAACAACAAGGCAATAGACATTCAAACTGTTCTTTATTGTAATTTTCTTTTTAGTATTTTGTAGAATGAAACTTATGACAGACAGTGCATGTGGTAGGGGTCTCTAGCGTGCGAACACTGCTAGTGTGAACCTTAACCATTGCACTAAATAGTTTAAAAATGACTAAATTGAAAAACTTAACTAACAAATAAATGTTTTCCTAACTTTCCTAAGATTATATTGATGCAATCTCGCTTCCCGTACGAGGTCAAATCGTGGAACTTCACGAGCGATACCACAATGGCCAGTTTGGCGGTCACTGAATCCGATCAAACAATTATCGTGACCGAGGGCATGTCTAAGCAAGTTAAGGTATTTATTTAACTGATCAATTAATTAATCAATGAATTAATTAAATCAATGAATTAATGAATCAATCAACCAATCAATCAATCAATCAATATAAAAACTAACATAGATATACGATCCGTCTGGAAAACTTCTGCGCACAATAAAGTTGCAAATGGCAAGATCACCGCGTCAAGCCATCAGGTATCTAATATTCTCATTCGTGTGTGCATTTGTATACGTCTATATACATGCCTAATTATCTGCATTACAGATTGTCGAACAATTTGTATGCCGTGACGGCTGGGTACGAAACCACGGAGAGCCATCTGGTTTGCAGGTTTAACGTGAAAGGGTACGTTGTTGGCAGGTGCTTTGGCGGCAGACCCGGTAACTCTAAAACTATTTGAAAATATTATTGCAAAATAATTTCGGTATTTTTTAAAATTAAAAATTATTGTTCATCAAATTAATTAAAAAACCAAAATCCTAGGTAATTCAATCAACCAGCTAAACGTACCAGCACGTATGGTGCTTCTAAATGACGGCAGTGTTCTCCTCGCTGACATGAAAAACTCCAGAATCCTAAAACTAAACAAAGATCTCTCTAGTGCCGAAATATTTCTGGGTGCTAGTGATGGCATACACCAACCTTATCGTCTGTACGCCGATGAATCTAAGAGAATTCTCTACGTGGCCGATAATACGTTGGACCCTGTTACTTCTTATGCCGTTTCTGGTAGAGTTATAGCCTTCAGATATTAAGATTTGGTGCTGAGTTGGTGGCGGATGGTTTGGTTATGATTTGATGAAAGTTCGTTGTATTAGGGGGCGAAAAATAGTTTGAGATAACTTTTTGGTTATTTATAGTGTAATTGTTCATCTCTAATTAACGATAATACTTTTTCATTGCAATGAATTGTTTGATCAACTTTCGAACACACTTTACATTCTGTTAACGTTATAAATTGTGTTAGTAAGATTGAACTAACGACATAGCTAACAAAATTAACGGTGAAACATTTCAATTAACAATTCGACAACTGAATGTTTGATTATGTTAATTTTATCTGCTTAATGCTTAATTAATTAAATATTAATTGTGTTGAAAAAAAATAACGGCATACTCTAAATATTGATATAAACTGTTTTCGTGTTTGCGCGTGCGTATGAATGAACAGACGAACGGATGAACGAACAGAGAAATATTTATTTTTAAAATCTGCAGCCTTTTTTGTAGCAGAACCAGATTCAATAGATGTGTAGACGTTACGCATATACCTTTTGGCTAGCGTGTTGGGGAAATACAAATTTTCTTATACTAGGTTACATTAGACAGAAATTACAATTAGACGGAAAATTAGAAATTTCATTAGACAGAAATCGAACCTTTATGTTAAAATTAAAGATCAGAGAGACGACAGTTTTTTTTAAATGTATATTTCGTAAACATGAATCAAAAGCCAAACCAACACAAGGTTATATGTGTATGTACGTTCGTGTATGTATGTGGGAGTTTGCGAGTTTGTATGCATTAATGTATGAATCGTAATTTATAATCAATATTCACCATGTATATAAAATGTATAAACTGATGTATGGTTTGTTTGTTTGTTTGTTTGTATGTATGTGTGTATGTGTATATATACTTTAAGCAGTGTTCTCAAAATTGTATGTATGAATGAATGTATGAATGAATGAATAATGTATGAATGAATATATCTATATATATATATATATATATATATCTATATATTTCTTGGTGTAAATCACATATATATATATATATATATATATATATATATATATATATATATATTCTGCTAAATATAAACGTGTTATCACAACCAAAGATGATAATATTAAAAACAATTAATTAATTAATAATGATGAGTGAACAGGTAACTAATTAATTAATTAAGTAAGTAATTAATTAAGTAATTAATTAAGTACAAAAAAGTACAACACTCACGTGTAATTTATAATGTAGAATATGCAATATGTAATGTTAGAAATCTGTAATGTTACTACACTATATATATATATATATATATATATATATATATATATATATATATATATATATAAGTTAACGATAGATGGGTGGAGAAAATAAAGGAATATT